CCGGCCATGGCCGGGAAAGGGGCGCCTCGCCCCCTCCCCGACTCTTCGGCTCTGTTTAAGAGCCGGGCTGCCCCAGCGCTACCGGCTTCGGGCAGCCCCCGTGCCTCCGGACCCTGCGCCGCCGGAGCCCGGGAGGGGAAGTGCCCGGCTGGGGCGCAGGGTCCGGAGGCACGGGGGCTGCCCGAAGCCGGTAGCGCTGGGGCAGCCCGGCTCTTAAACAGAGCCGAAGAGTCGGGGAGGAGCAGAGCCGCCATTTTCCCGGACATGTTCGGCTTTTTGGCAATTCCCCCCGGACGGGGGTTTGACTGCCGAAAAGCCGGACATGTCCGGGAAAAAGAGGACGTATGGTAACCCTAGAGTTGGAGAACAGGGAAAATGGCCAGCTCAGTGAATTAGTAGTGGGTCAAGGAACTATCATAGAGGATAGTTTGCCTCACCAGTCCAAACATGGGATTGAGGAAGATCAGAGAGAAATAGCAGGGATCATCAGTGTTTACAGGTCTCTCGGGAGGAAAATGATGTTGGGGAAAGTATGGATTTTTATAAAGCCACGAGGATAAACCCAAGTTCCTGACCTAGCTGTTCAGCCCATAAGGATCCTTACTTTCAGGTGGTAAGCCTCAAGACAACATTTTGAGTTGGGGAGGCTTTAAATGCTCATTTAAAATCTGACTTACTGAAGTTACTATTAGCCAAACACACAGATTAAGATAGATATAATTCAATGTTTGTATGCTCAATTAAGTGTAATCTACATATTTTCAAAATGTTAGATGTACAGTATATGTATTACAAGAGAAGATCTTTTTAAAACAAGTTGCAGACTGCTTTGTTACAGTTTAACTGAACATATATGCCAGTAACAACAACTGGATCTAAAACAGAGCAACAATTTTAGTTCTGGTTTGCAGCTTAACAAACAGATATGCAAACAAATGTTATGTCCAGAAGCAACAGAAGCCATTCTTTAGAGTGTAGTCATGGTCAGAAAAATAACTACAAATGTTACCAGTGTTATGCATCAACCAAACTGCAGCTACAGCTTGATTTTAGAATATTTATTGTTGATGATTAATAGCTTTGGGTACTATTACAATGGAAAGTCACTTCTGCAATCAAAGAGGCGATCTAGTTTTCTGATTAAAAAAAAACCTGCAGTAAGTGTACTTCACCATGCAGTTAATAAAAAATTAAGAGAAATGTTAACAATCCTATTCTACCTCCCAGCTCTCTTTTTTTGAGGGGGTGAGGAACAGGGAAAAAAGAGAGAAGAAACTGACATCTCATGCCTCTTTTTCTCCATATTATTTCTCTTCAACTGTAAGATATTTACAAAGGAGGCAGCACATTTTACAGTTATAGCTCCTTTTCCCTTACAAGTTCTATTACCAACTCAGCTACTGACTTCTTGTCTAATCTTGACACATCACTTAGGCCAAAGTTTTGCCTAACTTGAAACACTTAGAGCCTTAGTCTCAGAGCTACTGAGCACCTGCACCTCTCAATAGCTACAACTGGAGTCAGACACTTTTGAAAGTTTGGGCCTTAACATCTGTGTACCTCAGTTACCCAATCTCTCAAATTGCAAGAATACTTACCTTTGTAAATCACTTAGAGATGCTCTCTACTGCAGAAGTGCAAAATACAATCATAACCTCCAGCTGTAACCAGAGCAGCCAGTACCCTCTGGGGACCTGAGTGCTGTGTCTCCCATAGCTTTGGGGACTCGTATTTCTTTCTACTCAAAAAGCACTCATACAATATTCATACCAGCATGTCTATATTTGCACTTTTTAAGATTTGTTTAATCATCCATATATATAATTAAAAAAAGATTAGTGCAATAACAAGTAACAGTGAAACCCAGAAAGAATCTCCAGCAGATACTGAGACAATCCTGGCATTTTGAATCTTGTTATTTTATTCACTGTAAATGAGTGGCAAATAATCATTGTATAATTTGAGGATAGTGGAAATTCTCTCAAATTACCAGATGATTTTCTAATTGACAACTGTAAACTTTACTTCAGGTTAGAACACAGCTTAATTTTTTCTTCTAACTTCTAGTTCTAGCCTCACCAATAAACAGATTCTGCTGTTAGAATTTAGTTAACAATTCTGTTGATTATGTACAAGACATAAAGAAACAAATAATTCAACTAACTCTCCAATATTGTAGTTGTAATGACTATGTAGTGTTAAAAGGAGTAAGAAAATATGGTTCAGAATACAAAAGGAAGCAGAGTAATTACAGGGATGTGATTTTTACATTGTAACTTTTCTGACATTGTTAACAACACAAAGGGATCAGTTACACATTTAATATATAAGCCATAAACCTGGCTACACTGAATTCCTTTAGACACTAAGGCTTGGTCTACACTACCCCCCCTAATTCGAACTAAGGTACGCAACTTCAGCTACGTGAATAAAGT